TCGAGAAATGAGTAACGGCTATTTTCGCAGGAAATCTGTTTCGATTACCGATTTAATCGAGGACACAAGTGCTTTGATGTTTTAAGACAGTGCTCTGAAAAACCATACGAAAACTATTCAATTCAGTCTTGAAACTAATCTTCAGTTAAACAATCGAAATAATCTACCATATTACTGACCTGTTGTTGACGCTGTTGTTTCTCCTAAAATTTTACAAATAAAATCAAAACAAAAACATGTTTGAACATCGTGTTATTCAATCAACAATCATAACTATTTTTGTTGCCAATTAAATCAAAGAAGACTGATCCTGCAGAACAATATGTCTTCATTCTCCTTCCTGGGTCACTAAAGTGACTATTTCTAGAGCGATACAGAAAAATAAAGGAGCATCGAGTTCAAAAACTTTAGGAACAATTTTTGTAGTGAACTTCATTAGCTGTCGATTGATAAAAACAACTATTTCATTTTCTCCGGACAAGATGAGCTCATGGATGGCCGATGTCAGTGACAACATTTACACATTTTTCTTGTATGCTGCTGACAAAGTGAGCTATTTTTTTTACTCTTTCTTGCATTATTTTCTCGTTTGTGCCATATTACATTTAACTAAACCTGTTCTTCAAGTTACTTATATTCATAGGGTCATGACTAGTACAAAATATCTCTGCTCAGATCCGCAGCGTTACTGAGATACAAGATATTGGTTGTAAAATAAAGATAAACTGGAACTATTTATCCTTGTTTTACAACAATATCTTGTATCTCAGTAACGCTGCGGATCTGAGCAGAGATATTTTGTACTAGTCATGACCTTAATAGTTCCAGTACAGGATGTGTTCCTATATATCTGTTGGTAAGAGCTTCGTTTCTATTTTTGGTTGAAATCGTAAGGATGAAAAAGGATGAAGTCCAAAAACTGCGTTCTGATATGCTTTAAATATAATATAATCATAAAATCTTTTGAATCTACATGAAACCGTTGAGATGGCAGTGGGAGATTTTGCCCACACATCTAGCTTTTTGTGTTAAAAGATTAAGCAACTGTTTTTACTTCGTTCTAACCACCATAACATCACGGAAAAAAGTACGCAGCGCTTTTTTGCTAAACTAGCTTTGTAGAAAACTATAGAAAAAAGTTTTTCTCTGAAAAGTGTTTTAAAACTATTCACACAGCAATACATTTCCTACACAACGTAACGTAATCGAGCTCTTCGCGATGTGTTGAGAAAAAAGCCTAAAAGGATTCGGGCCCATGACTCTTGAAGACCCGATTTTCTGGAAAAACAGTTTTTTAGAAATTCTAAAAAATAACCAAAACCTTTTCTTGGTGGTGCATGATTATAGTCCGCACATTTCTGATTAAAATGAGACGTTCGCCAGCTCTACACGACCTTTCTTTGCAAAGTTTTACAACAAAAGCCCTAAATTAATTTCTTCTTATTTCTGTAACTTTGACCTGACAGTGAACATTTAGGGCTTTTCTTGTAAATTCTATAACTTTGCAAAGAAAGGTCGTATAGAGCTGGCAAACATCTCATTTTAATCAGAAATGTGCGGGTTATAATCATGCACCACCAAGAAAAGGTTTTTAGACTTTTTACCTGCTCTCAATCCTCTATCGAATGCCGTATAATGAACAAAATCGGAAGAATTCACCGAAAAACGTTCCTTCGTCAGTATGGCCTAATGTATTCACGTCAAAACAGGACTTATGCGAGGTATGTAGTGGTTCGAATTGAGCTCCATGACTAGCACCGATTGAGTTGGTGTAGTGTTGAAATCGCATACCTAACCGACTAAGTGACGCCGCGAAGTACTAGAAGAAGGGAGAGGGTCCTCCGGTTCTGGAGTAAATCGAAAAATTTTAAAACTGAGAGTAAATATCTTGACTTTGGGAGTCAACTCAGTGGACAAAGGCGTTTCTTTACGAAGAGTAAAGCGTTTATTCCGCGGGAGTCGGGATCCGGTAAATGGAAGAGAGCAAGAAGAATGCAGTGCTTTCAAAATGCAATTCGTAGCAGATTTTCTTGTAAATGAAGAAAATAAAATATGCTGATGTTTACTTTCAAATCAAGAGTAATTATAATGAGTAATCAACGATTGCTCATTATGCAGCACTAAATTAGAGCTCAGACGCTTTTGCTCTTTGTTTCCACATGCTATTATCGTTATTAGCATACACCAGCTGGTGCTAATTATTATCTCATTTCCGGAGCAACAACTTTTCGAATTTGGAGTGAAAGATTTGATAAAGCAGGAAGGAGGATCCCGCTCCCTGCTCCGGTTGTCGCGGCGCCCATGAATCAACTATTCGGAATCTGAAACCAATTGAAGACTTGTAGTCTCGACGAACGTCAAATCCTTCAAACTTGATTACGTTTTCTCCTTTTCTGTCTAATGCTTTTATTTACTTTTTAAGTACTTTTATACTAGCTTTGGGTAATAACTCAAATAGAATTTTGTCTCATCTCTTGATGATTCTTTCTATGACAGTCTGTTCAGTGTGAAGATATAAATGTACATCAGCGGCGTAACCAGGATTTTTAGACCAATGGGCAAACTTGTATTGTGTCGGAAAAAAGCGGTGGGCAAAATGGGCAAGATTTTTGTTGATGGACCAAAAAGTTTTTGGTCCAAAACGAACACAGAAAAATGAAATGAGGTTCTTTTAATCAAACTCAAACTTTAAGCCTATCTAGCAGTTACTATTTAATTCAAAAATAAACAAACAATTCTGTCTATCCACACTCTTACATATATCTTTCTAAACGTTATACGGAAAAAACTGCATGGATATATCTGCCAAGTAAAATTTCAATGGGCAAAAACTTACTAATAAAAATTACAATGGGCAAATCTCCAAATGAAATGGGCAATTGACCATTTGCCCCCTCCCTTGGATACGCCGCTGATGAACGTGTAATATCCTCGTTATATGACATTGAATCATATTATTACTAGGTATAGTTGACGTATTTCATATTTCTTTCATGTTTCTGTTTATACTTCTTCTTGTATATATGTTGTAGGCAAACTTAAATTCAGGCAAATTTTAAATTTGCCTAGGCAAAACTCCAGTTGGAGTTATGACTGGGCAAAACTTAAATTGAAGTTTTGCCTGAAGTTTTTGTAGGCAAAACTCCAATTTAAATTTTGTCTCGGCATATTTTAAATTTGCCTGGGCAAAACTTAAATTTAAAATTATAGTTTGAGTTTTGCCTGAATATAGTTAAACAAAATTAAATTTTGACATCATCTAAGAATATTGCTGACTCCAGTCAGGTGACAGTCTACTATTACGTGTTCCAAAGGCAGGAGAAGAGACTGATGTCATTTGGAGCGGTTCGGACATGACGAGAAGTCATTTTCTAAAAACCAAGTACGAAGGAAAATGATAGAACAACAAATAAACCTTATTTTTCTTACCTGATAACTTCTCTGTTTATACGTCGACTTTTCGCGTAGCCCTATGTGATCGAATAGGTTTGCCGACTTGATTCATACGAACAAACACTACTCCAAACAAGGGGCAGGCAAAACTCAAACTATAATTTTAAATTTAAGTTTTGCCTACAACATATATTCTCTTTATATCCTTTTTCTTGTCTGTCCACTAATTAATTAGCAATTAATTTTCTATTAAATTGCTATACATTCTTCTTGTATATATTCTTTAAGGTATATTTCTTTAACTGATTTGGTGATCTAAAGGCTTATTTTTTGGAGTTCATTTCACTATTAATAAATCTGGTGATCAAAAGTCAATCTTTTGGGGATCAAAATACATTTTTTCCAAAAGATATAGAGCACCTGTTTGATTTCTTTACGGTATTAGGTCGTGGCTTATCTTTAATGGCTCTTAAGTAATCAAAAATCTTGTATAATAGTTTGTTGGATAATTATTCGAATTTACTGATTCTAGACGGTGTTTTTATTATATGATCCTATGATATCTTTATTCATCGTTTTGTGAGTGAAAATTACACGTCTTGGGGACTTTTCTCCCACGTACTTCCGTTAGAAAATGACATTATATCATCATTTATTATCGTTGCTAAGTGAAAAAAATAGAAAAGTTGCTTATTGATCCATAGTTTACCTTTGTTAAATGTAAAGAGAAGAATAAAAACATTATGTTATATTTATGAGAAAGAAGAAGATAGAGGCTTTTTCATGCACTTGAAGCAAAAAGTGTAAAAAATTTCGTTTGATAGATCTATCCTACAGTACTTTAACTATCTTTCTGTTTTTTCAATGTGGTGCCGATTTTTAGTCAGCCACATATTTTAAAAATCGTAGAGCAAACCAAAATAGTTATGTACCGCAATAGCAGCAATGATTACATTAAATTGTGCTATTTATTCTTTTTTGTCCTGCCCCTTCATTACGAAACGGTTAGCAAATTAAAAAGAAATTTGAAAAGAAAAAAGATGTATCTCTGAATAACAGAACGAAAAGCGCTGCGTACCAATATCTTCTGTTTGAGAAACGAACGAAAAACGGCTTTTTTACGTGGAAATCACTGAATTTTATTCCTTTCAGCTTTTTTTCGTTCTATTATTCAGAGATCCATCTATTTCTCTTTCCAAATTTCTTTTTTATTTGCTAACCGTTAAAGTTTTAAATTTTTCAAACACTAGACGCACAGGTTTATTAGCTCTCTTGAAAATGACTGTATGAACAGGTGAAATGTTGACTAGTTTAAGTTTTAACTATTCGTGACTTCATAGTAATAATGACTTACCCACTTGTTGACGTTAGTAAAACGAGATGCGGTGCTCAGAGTGATGCACGTGTTGTCATGAAGGAAGTATAGATAAGGAATAGGAAAAAAACATACATCAAAACTTTTCAGCGAAGAAGCTTTGGGTAAAAGGACTTTAAATTGAGCAGAGAAGTGTTGTCTGCTCTGGCACAAGTGTTCACATAGTTTTTTTAATTTTTTTTGAAACTAGATTGAATGTAAACGAAAGATTATTTCAGAATTTCGAACGGTCATGACAACCGACAGGGACGAACAACTGCAGTTTGAACAACTAGTTCAAAAGATCGCTCCGCAAAGCATGTTAGTTCGAACATGGCAATTAAAGGGCGGTATGTCAGCTCAGATGACCGCTTTAGAAATTAAACACTCTGATGGGAAAACGAGCAGAATGATTGTACGTCGGCCTGGTGCTGAGAGCCTCAAACGCCAACACGTAGCACAAGACGAATTCAAGCTCTTACAAATGATACAGTCATTGGGATTAGCCACGCAGACGCCTTATCATTTTGATGAATCGGGATCGATTTTTTCCACGCCATATTTAGTCATTGAATATATCGAGGGCAAGATAGAATTCGCACCTTCTAATCTGGGTGATTTTATCCTTCAATTCGCTACGCAGCTTACCAAAATTCATCGTCAACCATCCTCGATGCTCGATGAATATTTTCTCTCTAAACATGCACACAGATTTGCCGATACTTTCTATGACAAGCAACTCACAGCAAATGTCGATACATGGCTAGACGAAGAACATATTTGCACTACGTTGGACTCCGTGTGGCCATTACCTCAGCGCAATACATCTGTGCTGCTTCATGGAGACTTTTGGCCAGGTAACGTGTTGTGGCGCAATGAGAAGCTCGTGGCAGTGATCGATTGGGAAGATGCAACAGTGGGGGATCCGCTGACCGATTTGGCTATTAGTCGATTAGACATAGCATGGATATTCAGCATCGATGCCATGTATTCATTTACACGTCACTATCAATCGCAGATGAATATCGATTACACTGATCTTCCCTATTGGGATCTCTATGCTGCACTTCGCTTTGTTCGATTAGCTAGCAGTAATCTAGCCGAATGGGCTGCATTCTTTCATCCCGTTGACAGGCATGACATCACGGAACAAAGAATACGAGAGCATTATCGGGTTTTCCTCAACCAGGCATTTGACAAGCTTACTCCTGTTCAATAGGCACATCGATCGAATGAAGCGACAATCTTTTCACTTTATCAGAAAATATTTCAAATGCTATATAGGACAGCTAACTTAACTGCGCGGTATGATACTAAGTTATCATATGGAAAGCAGTTTATGCGACTTGACACAATCCTTTTAAACGAATATAATAAAGACCGAGTCACATAAGAGATTAATCTGGTCGATTTCTTATTTCTCAAATCTCACGCGAAGTTCGACGCAAAATTGAACACTAAATCGTTTGATTATAATTTTCGACTTGTTTCGCTTTTTTGGCTGAGATCTGTTTGCCTCAGAATACTAACGTTTATCTGTCCGTACGCTATCTTGTTGTGATTCAAGAGGGACAGGTTCCGGAATGACTACTTTTGTCCACAGACAGAGAGAAATCGAACAGACTTATACATATAACGAGACGATCCAGGCTCGAGTTGCTCGCCTAGGTTATAAGGTGTAGGTTGGACGGAAATACCATCATACAAAACTATTTTACTCTCTATTTGCACAAACACTGTCAGGATACCTAGACGCATCAACTATCTATGTATCAAGTGTTTTAGAGGCCGGAAGACCCGACGAAAGTCCGGTCCTAGTAGTCTGGGAAAAACCTTGTCTGCTGAGAAACCAAGAAAAAGTAAGAGATCAGTTAGATCCCCATTTTGTAGAAGACTCCTTAGACTGATTAAGATTCAACGTTCCTACAACCACATTCGAGCAAAGACTTTAAGCGTGTTAGACGCACAACGGCCCGACAAGACTGTCCGTATCTATCGTCTCACGCCGCCAATTTCCAATGTGTGTGATCGGATTATTAGTCTGATTAGGCATATAGCGAGACGAACGGTTCGATTTCGGACGTTCGAAGCGAGCGCTTGATGCAACTCAGACAACCATTTCAGACGTCTGACCTATATCAAGCGTCCGTTTCGTACGTCTGATTATATATTTTTCCGGGTGATTTTTTTCTATCCAACTAAAATCAAAGAGTATGATAACAATGTTTTGATGATGAAAGATAAACAGTAATCGTTCAACTTGCTTTAAAATCAACAAGTAGTGGTGCAGAATGTAATTGTGCTAGAATATGTCGAAGTACGATGATATCATCAATCTAAGAAAAAGAATGAAAGTGAAGGCTTAAATAAATTCAAACATGCATGGGTTCCACAGGCACTTGTGAATAGCCATTCTCTTGATCAAGACGAACAAACACTAGCAGCAAGCTTCATATATTGTCTCATCGAAGGTATTATCTGGAGATCTTAAAGTGATAATCCAGTTTTCTTCAGGAAAACAAACGCGTATTTGACTATAAAATAGCAGCGACTCTTGTGGTTGTTATATTTTTGTACCTTCAGTGATATGACATCCATCTTTTCTATACATAACACATACCGTGATGCCAGAAGCAAAAACCATCGATGTACCGTGTCACAGTGGGCATTTTTTGCTAGAGCAAGCGGACTTTAGCTTTATGAGTGAACTAAAATTTCATGAACCATTTTTTTATAGGTTTTTCATGATCCTCTTTCTAATGCCATGAGAGTTGGGTTTTGAAAAAGTTTTCTAAGGAGTTTTCCAGAGAT